GAGAAGGGTGACAAGGGGACAGAGACAGACTGACACCAGGACTTATCCTGGAGCACCAGAGGAATACACTGCTACTCCCTGTGTGAAGCTACACAGTTCTTTAGCCACCCAAGACAGGTGGAGGGAAGGGAGCTCATACATGCCTACAGTTTCCAGAACTGGCCTAAAGGAGAAGGATTCAGAAGTGAGAAATCCTGGAAAGCTGAATCCAACCAGAATCCTGTCAGCAGCTTTCTGGGCATTTACGAAGTTGTCTCTGACCATTTATGTTGGTTCTAGTGTCTTAAGCCACTGTAAGATCTTCAAATCTGTTACACAAATGTAGATCAAACCCACCTTTAAAATATCTCCCAGTACAGGTGGCCCCAGCTCTGCTGATCTTGCTGGCCAAGGGCAGGTGGCTGCTTTCAGTCCCTGAACTTTCTCTGCTGTTGCCTCCAGGGGTGAGCAGAGTTCAGACTTCACTGAACTCACCATTGTACCAACCCAGAATCCAAAGTCCTTAGAGACTGGTACTAGGAAAATGCTAGCTGAGTTGACAGGAGTAGGGCTGAGACCTTTAGGACATGGAGTTTCCCGCTCATGGGGTGTTGCCGCACAGACCCTGTGCTGAGGCCAGTCTGGCCGGTGTGGGGAATGCTGCACCGTCCAGCACCACCCACCTAGTAAACCAGCAAGGTATTATCAGCCTGAACAGTGCTAGAGCAGCATGCTTAGAGTTCTTCATTTCTCCCCATTAGGCTGCTTTCCAATCAACATTGATCACTGGGCTGGATCACATCTGGTCTTAACGTTTAAGCCTATAATCTTGTTGAAAATCTTTGTCCCAAAATTTCCAATGTCCATGTCCTCACTCTGCAGATTAGAGGAAGGGATGAGTCTGCCCCTGCTAGAGGGCATCAAGTTTCCAAAGGGTATTACATGGGAAGAGCCAAAGGGATCCACACTCAGCCATGCTGAGAGCAGAGTGGGCAGGAGGACATCGACCTTTCTAGAGAAAACCCTGCTGACAGCACTGAGTATGGTCAGCACAGGCAAGCACACAACCATCCAGTCCTTCTTCTAAAGCTCTGTGCTCCCAGTGGCCTTGCACCTCCTGAAGACCCAGGGTGTCTGGCTGCGCTCTGTTCCTGGGTGCTGCGGAGAGAAATGGCCGATCAACATGACCAGGACAGACCACAGAACAAAACCAAATATCTCTTGCATTTGCTGTCTTTACATGTTGAAGGGAAAGATGCATCCATTTGCAAAGTGTTCATACCAGCATTAACTCCATAGTGTCCACCTAACCATCTCCCCTGCAGCTTCCTTCTCCTCTTTGAACAGCTTGAAGAGTTACTAAAGCCAGACCCTTCTGCAGTGAATTTAACTGCATGAGGGGACAGCGGTCTTTTGTATTTCCAAGCCAGTTCAAGGCAGACAGAACTAGAGAGGCAGTGCAGCCCACTGCCCACCACCCAAACCCGTTGCTTCCTTGCATGGATCATCTCCCTTTCCAACATCTCATCCTCAGAGAGAGAAAGAGGTGCCTGGCTGCTCTTCCGGGCAGTGTCAACAGGAGTTCAGCCTTTGCTGGACCTCTTGGCACTACCATGACTGGTGCGTGTTTGTGCTGGGACGTCTGTCTTGCTGAGATCACTAAAGAACACGTGGGAACATTAAAGCCACAGAACTGTATAAGAACGGTGTTTTCCTCTGTCCAGACAGGTCAGGACAACTGGAAAAGGTTTATTGTTCAAACAGTTTATTACCAACTGTTTGTCTCCATATATTACTGATTCTATTTCTTACCAATGCTATTAGACACTATTTATTTCCAGTGCTGTTGGGCTCCACTCACTCTCTAGCTACTCTCTCTACCACGTGCCACGCTGGGTCCAGCCCCATCACCCGCAGCGCTGGTGGTGCGGGGGGGACGGTGCGGGGCTGTTGGCCTTGGGCGGTGGGGTGGTGTTGGCACGGCCATGGCAGGGGCTGCTGCCAGCTCGGGCATCGCCAGCCGGGAGTTGGGGCGGCCCAGGGGAGCAGCCCAGCCGCTGCGCCGGGCTGCACGGGGTGGGGGGGAGGTGGGAAAGCCCAGCTCTGGTGCCAGAGGTGGGAGCTGCGGTGCGGGAGGTGCAGCCCGCGCTGGAGGCCAGCCGGGGCCTGGCTGGGGGTGCCAGGGATGGGGCAGCCCAGAAGCTCTCCCTGCCCGTGGCTCCAGCGGGGTCGGGAGACGGGGGGGGCCCTGCTTGGGAAGGGGTTTGGGAGCTGCTGAGGCCAGGAGGTGCTTTAACTTGGTGCTTTGTTGTTGGAGACCTCCAAGAGGGAGATGCCAGCATGTCCCGTGGTGGAGCTGGTGCGAACACCTCCTCCTCCACCCCAGCAGCAGCCACTTGCCAGGCTGAAGACCTTGGTGGCCTCCTGAGGGACAGCTTTCCTCCAGCTCCTCATCCAGGCATGATGCAACCTGGGCTCTCCTTTTGTGGCCCACTCTTGGCTTGCACCTTTCCAGCAGCTGGAGATGTTCCCTCTTAAAGTTGGGGCTATGATAGAAGCGTACAAGTGTAAAAATGCAAAGGTGTTAGTTGCAACCAGCCTGGAAAACACAAATATATGAGAACCAAGACTTTTAATCACAAAAGTCAAACTTGGGTATTGAAAAGGATTGTTAGGGGCATTTGAAACCTCAAGCATGGGCTGTCTCAAACATTATGATATGGTTCTGTTAAGTCATCACCAGCCCTGGGTTTTCACTTGAGAAATGCCCTGAGAAAGAAATGAAGGTGAGGACATCCCCATCTCCTCTGTTCCTAAGGCTTACTTGATATGAACATCAGTCTCTCACATCAGTTCCTGTGCAGAGGAACTGATGTACCTTCCTAGGAGCAGGAGAGGCTGCTGCTTCTGCTGGAACTCATCCCCAGAGTTAGACAAACTGGACACTTCTGGCAGCTCATGCAGCCCATAGAGGTCAAGCTGATGATGGAAACTTTCCATGCTCTCTACTTCAAAAACTCTCCCAAGTCCTCTTCTTGCCAGCACATCCTCCTTGAATATTTCTTCATTGATAGCAACAGAGACTCCATCATCAACCCACAAATGCACTGAAACTTGTAACTGCGGGCAGTTTTCCAGAGCTGCTTGAGAAAGGAGAGGTCTTTGATTTTGCTAGTGCTCTCCTTGGAAGAAGCAGGAGTGTCTCTTTCAGTAGAGCTGTCATCACTCTAAGCTTGGAAGGACTCTTCCGTCATTGCTCCTACAGCAGTGTCCCCAGCTGTTTCATCATCCCACTCAGGAGAGGCAGGAGAAGCTGAGCCTGATTGACTCCATCAGCTCATCTGAGGAAGAGGAGGAGGAGATTTCAGCTGTTGATGATTCCCTTTGAAACCATCCAGTCTCATTTGGGCTTGACCTTTCTTCTGCAACCATTGCTCCAGCCGGCCAGGCTTGGTCCTGCCAGAGACCAACCAAATGCTGACTGATACCAACTGGTGCCAACTGTGGGTTCCCATGGGGCACTCTCAGATGTCTCTGTGGCACAGTGCCTCATGGCGATGACATCGCAGGGTGGCACCCATGACCCAGCACAAGGGAGCTGCAAGAGGAGAAATTGCAGAAGAGCATTTATTGCTCTTCACTCCGAGAGCCACCGGTGGTGGGACTCCAGAGCCCCGAAGCCAGCAAAGCTGCATTGGACGGCTGTAGGCAATGAAAGGACTGTGCTGTGTCCAGCTGCATCCAGGAGTGGGTCCATAAGGAGAAGCAGGGATGGCAGCAGCAATGAACACCCCAGTGCCTTCTTTCCAAAGTTTTTGTGATTCAGTGGAGAAACATCTTACAAGCCTTGGCTTCACATTCTTTAAAAGCCAAGCAAAATACTCCTATCTCTAAATGCTGCAGGACTCCACAGCAGTAATTTCTAGTCTCCCTAGACACTGATAGTATTTTTGCTCCAAGAGAAGCATAATGGGCTAGTGAAGGATCAGCATCTTCCCCTCTGAGCTGCATAGCCACTTTTGGAGGAGCCCAGCATACAGCTCAGCCCAGCCCAGCACACCAGGACAGTCAAGCTGTACCTGATAGGGGTTGTCATAACCTTTATCACAGCCACCAAGCACCCTCATGCTCCAGGCATATGGTGCCATGATGTGCTCTGACTTTTCAGCACGCTCCCTCCACAGCACTGGCTGCAGTGTGCCCTTCATCCTTTGGCTTCTCTAGCCCTGGAGGAGTTTAACTGGGAGGAAGACATTTTGCCTTTTGTTTCTTATATTTGACAAGAAAGGGAAGGGGATGTGTGAAGAAATTTGCCCTCTCCGGGTTTGAAGAGCTGGCAACAGTTTTTCCTGAGCCAGCTTTATGTGTTCGACATAAGCTATACTGACCCAGCGCTCCAGGCACTACCACAACACTGAGTGCCTTTAGGCCAGCATTTAAAGGTCTGTGAACAAGGACTCCTCATATGCCCCGAGACCTATCCTGCAGCTGGAAAAGCTTCCTGGCAGCAAAATAACCTTTCAAAATATTTCTGCCAAGCAATGGGAAAGGGTTTCCCTTGTCGAAACACATTGCAGCAAGCCTTTGTGTGGTATAAACCATCTTTATGCCAGCAGGATCAGTGCGAAGGACCCATCTATGGTACCTGGTACCTGAGCTCCCGCTTCTTTCTCTCCCACAGCCCAGTCTGAGGCAGGTTGGCTGCAGCATTTTGTGAGCTTTATAACAGGGGAGGCTATTTCGAAGGCAACAGAGACCCAGCAGGCAGCTGAGAGCCCAGAACAACCCCTGAGCTCACCTTGTTAGCAGTTCCAGGTTACTGTTCTCTAACGATCTGTTCTAAGCATTGGCTAAGTTTGGAAACGGTGCTAAAAGCAGGCTCACCACTATCACGGCCAGTGAATGAAGAGCTTGTCAACAGAGGGAGATTCGCCAGCAGCAGGACAAGGGAGCAGGACAAACATCACTGTACAGTATTTCCTCTATAGAATGGTTTATATCTAAGCATGAGTCCTTCAAAATGCTGTTATAGAGCTTTAATACTGCATTAAGTGCTGGAAAATGGGAGGAACAGAGGGTATTTCACTGTCTAGCTTCAGACTTCTGCAAATTGATGTGAATCCTCCACCCGAAACACAGATTCAACTAACAAGCCAGTTCCTAGCATGTTCTGATGCTTGAAAATTGTCCATATTCAGTTTTTGGCTTTCACTTTATCTCTGGAAAATCCTCAACAATTTAGACCTGCTCTGAGGGTGAAGCTCACCAAGTGTTCACACAAGCCAAGGAACAGCGATCAACGTGCAGTTGCTGGCAGCAAGGCAAACCCTTTGGGGTGGAGAGCCAGGACCCAGTGATCACAGCCGCCTCTGCCATCAGGAGGTGACTCGTTCCATTTTCTCCTGTGAAAGCAGAAAGGGGAAGAAAGCAGCTGATTGTCACAGGAAGATGGACAAGTCAAAAAAAGAGAAGCGCTATAGCTGCAGTGAGTTTGAGATGTGCTGCTTTGAATCATCCTTAGACGCAGCAGAAGCCACAGTCCTCTCCAGCACCTCAGCCTTCCCAGAGGAATGTATTTTTTCCACCACAAGTCATTGTGTTGGGTATGTGTGTTGTGGGGTTCTGGTAGCAGGGGAGGGGCTACAGAGGTGGCTCTTGTGAGAAGCTTCTAGAAGCTTCCCCAGCTCCGAGCCAATTGGCAACAGTGGTAGCATCTCTGTGAATAACATATTTAAGAGGGGAAGAACCTGCTGAGCAAGGCAGAGCGGAGCAGAGAGATGTGAGAGAAGTACCTCTGCAGACACCAAGGTCAGTGAAGGAGAGGGCCAGAGCAGAGATTGCCCTGCAGCCCACGGAGGTCACCAGTAGAGCAGATGCCCAAATGCAGTCCAGGGAGGACCCCACACCAGAGCAGGTGACTGCACCTGAAAAAGGCCAGGACTCTGAGGGAAGCCTGTGCTGGAGCAGTCTGTTCCTGAAGGACTGCAGCCCATGGCAGGGACTCACACTAGAGCAGTTCATGAAGAGCTGCAGTGCTGTGGGAAGGACCCATATCGGAGAAGTTCACAGAGGACTGTATCCTGTGGGAGGGACTCCATGCTGGAACAGGGGAAGAGTGTGAGGGGTCCTCCCCCTGAGGAGGAAGGAGCGGCAAGAACAACGTGTGATGAACTGACCGCAACCCCTATTCCCCACCCTCCTGCACTGCTGGCAAGGAGGAGGGAGAGAACTCAGGAACAAAGCTGAGCCTGGGAAGAAGAGAGGGGTGGGGGAAGGTGTTTTTAAGATGTGGTTGTATTTCTCAATATCCTACTCCGATTTGATTGGTAAATTAGTAGTTGTGGTTTTGTTCAAATTAAATTGATGCTTTTTACCAAGTTGATTCTGCCTTTTGCCCATAACTATAATTGGCAAGCGAGCCCTCCCTGTCCTCCTCTCAACCCATGAGCCTTTTGTTGTATTTTCTCCTTCCCATCCCACCTGGGGGAGGAGGAGGGAGTGAGCGGCTGTGTGGTATTTAGTTGCCAGCTGGGCCTAAACCACGACACTCACCCAGCGCTGCATTTCTTGGTCAGGTTTACTCCCTCTTGGAGACCAGACACACGCCTCTGCCTTTCCGCTCAATGCCAGGTCCACAATGCACCTGATAGATAAATCAAGCCCTATCAAGACCAAGAGCATTCTTGTCTATGACTGTACCTTGACCCATTGTACAAGAACTTTTTTATCAACTCCTGGAGATGTTGGAAGAAGCTGGAACCTGGGATCCATGGGAGAAATGGACAGCATATCAGGCGTCTCAAAACACCAAAGATCAGAAAGGTTAGGCTCAAATCAAGTGAGCCAGACAAAGCACGTAACCCCTGCCAGGAGGATGAGCAATGCAAACAGTGGATGCGTGTATCTGAAGTGGATATTTTTTCCCAGTCACAGCAGAGGAATGTGTTTTAAGTAGCTGACTTTTGGCCTCCTGCTTTGTTTACTCTTCCAAAGACAAAACCAAAAGTGACGCCATATCCTGCTTTATTGAAGTACAGAAGGAAGCATCTGGGAAGGGGAGGCAGAACACAACAAAGTCCAGACCAGCCTAAAGGGAGACATGCACAAATCCTCCTGCTCAGGCTGCTGAATATGTAGATATATATCTACACAGCCTGCTACCACAACCAGATGGAAGATACCTGCTGGGCTTCGGGATGCTCCAAGTAGCCAAGAGAACAGGGGGAATATCACACTCTCTTGGTTTCTTGAATAACCACCACTGCACAGAAGAATCAGACCCTCAGCTGATGTGAGCAGGCTCCACAGCCTCCACCACAGCTGCATTCATACTTACACCTATTCAAGAGCTGCACAGCTACTGCCCAATTTTCAAGCTTGTGGTAACTTTTAACCTGTGCAAATAGAAGCAGAAGAGCAGAATGAGGAAGTGATCTACTGAAACTTGCCCTGTGTGAGGGACTTCCCTGTCGAACCAGCACGAGAAAGGCACTGCCTGCCCTGAGAAGCGCTGCACTAAACCAGGCACTGGAGAATGGCCAAGCACTGGTTCAGGCTGGGTGCTTCATTCACAGAAGACAGTACCTCTGCCAAGCACAGACAGTGGCTGAACACTGTTATAATTAGAGCTGAAGTGCCAGGCCAGCTGTTTCCAACTCATGTTATTTTTATTATGCGCCTTTCAGTATTTTGTATTCACCTGAAGAGAGCTGATGTCCAGCTTCAAGGGATAGGAGAACTTAATGCTAAGAACATCCAGTGTTTTGTTTTCCTAGTTATGCAGAATGGTCCTCATCACAAACCTAGGTGCAGCACAAAGGCTCATAACTAGAAGGCAGAGGGGAAGGATCCCACTTGCTACATCATCTTCTTGAACAATTGGGGTTGGCAGGATTTTGTTCTGTCAAATTACCCCAACGGTAATTTTTCTAATCAGCAAATGTTTATTAGAAATTGCAGAGGTACAGTAAGGGACTGGCACAAGGAGGGCTAGGCTATTTCATCTGCAACTGTCCTGACCTTCAGGGAAAAAACCCTCCAGCACAACATAGTTGCCATAAATACTTACACCATGACAAAAGATGTCAGAAATGCAAGCTGTTGACATTACAGGATACTTAGCCAAAATGAAACCTTATGCCTTTCAAACTGTGAGCTGTAAAGACCAGCAAGTTTTATGACAGTGTGATATGCTATCCTAGAGTTTAGAGGGCAGGAAAGTGCAGCTGACATTGAACACACAATACTGTTGTCTTTGAAGGAAGTTCATTTCCAAATGATACAGAACTGTCTAACTTATTGTGAAGTTCTGGATCTAAACCAAGCGAGTTCATAAAAGGGTTGGACATTTCAATGCAGAACAGGTTCACCAGCACTTTTATGTCCTGGGTTGTATCCTCTGGCTCTGGGGATTCCCAGGAGCATAGTGCACACCAGCATCTTCCCTTAGTGTCTGCTGATAGCTGGATGGATATTTGGTCTGACTTGCTTGTGACATACAGTCAGCACAGATTCAAGTGTTTGAGTCTCAATTTTGTTTGTGCAAAACAAAGCCTCCTCACCTGGTGGTGTGTGATTTTACAGGCTTGTTTCTCAAGGTGTCTCATGCATTTAGTTCTTCCTTCTGTCTCTTGTGAGCCTGAGCAGAAGACAGGCCACCATCTCCAAAGAGGGCAGACACCTCCGCACAAGGCTGCTCTGCTTCTTGTTTGTAAAGAATTACAACACACTGTGCAAACAAACAGTCTAACCTCGGATGAAACAGTCTTAGATAAATCCCATGCATGAGATTAGTCATGCTGGTGTTGCAATCACTGGTGTCATGGATAAAAACGACCCAAAGAAGAAGAGTATGAGAATCTTCCATTACAGTTTATTTACATTAATTATAAACAAAGATTCCCAACTCTCTTGTGCTAGCCCAACAACTACTTGCACCTACCTGTTGTCTGTTATTTTAGCTCAGGACTATGCTGCAGCAGATTTTCTGCCACACCTCTGGAGTGGGCTGCCTTGTTCTTACAACTTCAACCAAACATCAAAAGCACAATTTTACTGCAATTGCTTTATACATGTTTATTGCAGTTATGGGAACAATTCCTTGCTGCTACAAAGATGTACCCCCATCTCACCTTCAAATGACATGATTATAAGCTAAAGGTTCCTGTTGCCAACCACACCATAAGCTCTTACACAGGTGAATGTCCTTGTTCAGCGTGGTACAGCACCAAACACTGCCCCTGAGCTGAGCTGTGGTCACTGCTCTGCTGGTGATATTAGCACTCACAATGGGTGCTCTGGGCTAAGATCATGGAGAGGAGGCTTTAGGATTAAAAAAAAAAAAATCACTAGTGAACTCATTAAATTGTTTTAAGTTAAACATATCTTTTATACAACCCCTCTCCTTCCCAAGTGAAATACAGCTGTCCAGATGTGATTCTCCTACAGCTTTTGACCTAATGCTTTTATGCAGTAGAGGACATGGAAAGATGATACAAAGCTCATGCATACTAAACCACCTTTGCAGCAGGAAAAGCAAGCCCCTTACATAGCAAAAGCAACCACAGAGAGTCAGATCATTGGGCTAAAGCAATAGGTCGTACAGACAAACAGATATCCGACTGGTTTCCCTAGGAGTGGGCGACTACTTACACAGATTGTGCAACTCTTCTATCTCTACTCTGCAAAGACAGCCTGATGTCCAAACACCAGTGTCTGTAATAGCGTTACTCAGTATTGATATTGTTTGATTGCATTTTGTAAATAAACAATGACTCATAGCTGACACATTTGGAGAAGCCCAGGGCAGGGGTTATAACACAGGCTAAGTCATCACCTTCTCATTTGTCCAAAGATACCACCGTACATTATGGGATGGACTACAGCAGGGTAACTCCAAAGAGGAAGCGACCCTGGATGCTGAGGCTGAATCCTACTGCCTGTGCTTGCCACGAGTTGCACCTTGCCTGAGGCAGAGACCCACAGCAGCACATGTTCAGCTCTGGCAGCCCCGTGGCATTCGATCTGACTGGCAGCAGCAGCCCTGGCCTGCCAGGATGTCCCACAGGAGTGGACGTTCACGCTGTTGCCTCACCCAAAACCACCATTTCCCCCCAGCACTGTGTGTGCTATCCCACCCTCCAGATAGCCGCACTGAATTAGCACCAGGCAACTGAAAAAAAGTACAGAAGATGCTAGATTGAAATTAATGTTTAACCTTTGTCTGCCTTACACTGTGGGCAAATAGTTGCAGGCAATGCAGAAATATTTTCCACTCAGTTTCTAATTTGTGAGCAACCTTGTTTCCTCTATCACGCAAGGAGCTCCATCAGCAGCAGAGCTAAGGAAACCTGGTCCTTCATTAATTTAGTATTTGGATTATTAGTTTCTGCATGTTTTGTTT